CTCGAACTAGCTAATTCCGCCGCCGTTATCTGTCCGTTACCGTCACGACCAAACGAACGGAAAACCTCCATTAACTATTCCTGGTTTATCAGAACCTCTTCGTTTAGATCTGGCAATATCACCACCACGAGCTCGTCGAACTCGACGGATCCGTTATCGTTACGATCGATTTGGTTAAGGAGAAGAGAGGTTTGATTCCGAGTGAACAGAGAAGAGCCGCGAGTTTGAGCTATGTTAAGCTTTCGTCTCCGTCCATGTAGAATCGAGCGAAGATTTCTTTGAGTTGCTTGATTTGATCGGTGGGTTTCTTCAACCGTAGTAACTATATATATATTTTTAAAAATTAAAATAGGTAACTATTTTATAATAATAGTTAACTACGTATAACTATTAGAGCTATGAACGTAGTTAACTATATTTCTTTAAATAAATAACTATGACAACAAAAAATTTATGTAGCCAACTATATCATGAAATTAGTAGAATTGATAACTATATTTTGAAAATAGTTAACTATATTTTTAACAATTAAATTAGTAACTATTTTCTAAAACATAGTTACAAACTAGTGTGAGATAGTTAACTATCTTTTGAGATAACAGAATATGTAGTTTCGAAATAATCAACTATATTTTTTTCCAACCCAATTTTGTTTTCTTTGCAGAGCATGATGCTTTAAAGGCAATTTCCCAGATATAGAAATAATATATTTTTGGGGATTGTTTTTCACATTCACCTTAATTACGGTTTAAATTTACTGATTTTTTAACTACTTTCATTATAATGTAATTAATGGCATTTTTGTCCAATAGGATCAACAATTTGCTACTCACCTAATTTATATTTCTAACTTGTTACTCACCTAATTAGATGTCCAAAACATAATATTCACCTAATTAATCTTTTTTTTTTGTTTTCTTCTCCCAACAATAAACACACACATAAAAAATAGATCGATCTATGTCAAATAATATCGACAAAATTATTAAATGCGAACATTATACGTGAAAATATATTCAAAGTCCAGATTTGTAGAAACTCGTTCTAGTGGAATTAGAGTGTTAAAGTAAAAAATAGTCCAGATTTCTATGTTTCTCAACGTTTTGAAGAGTTTCCCAATCTGAAGTTTCTAAAATGAGGAACGGATCTTAGACGGAGTTTCCATGTACTTTAGGTGTTTTTTTCTTCTTCTCCCAACAATAAATACACTGAAAGAATAGATCGATTTAAACGTGAACATTATAGATGAAAATTATTCAAAGTATTCCAGTGGGAAATATATTAAAATAGGATTCTCTAGGGTAGCATTGATGTATTGCGTTTTTTACACATTCTAACGCATGGTTTCAATGGTTTTTCAAGTTTTTTTGTGTCTTCAGAGTCTTTTTAGGTTGGAACACGTTTGGATGGAGTATAAGGCAAATGAGTAAGGAATGGAATCGAAGAAGCAAAAAATGGTCAGAAGTTTGGCACTCGTTGAATGACTTTTCATCAATGGATCAATCTGAAATTTTGACACAAGTTCGAGCATCGAATTAGATTTCATTTGGAAGTAATTTGAGATCATTCTAACGGTGCGATCGAAAGTTATAAAAGTTTTAGTGAAGACATGTCATTTTGGCGAGCAAAAGAAGCATGTGCAGGAAAAGAGATCAGACTAGATCAATCGATCCAACCTTGCCCATAGACCGCCATAGCTTTCAGAATCGATCAAACGAGCATAGATCTATCCAACATCAGGCAAAGATTTGTCACCCTATAGCTTACAAATTCCAAAAACCAAAAGTCTGATGATAAAAATAAAACGTTGCCTAAACAATGGTTGAAAGCTCGAAATAAATACGTTAAAATACATCCTGGTTATAGAAAAACTCAGTAAAATTAGGAAATTCCTGAAATTTTTATTTTTTCCAGTGAACCGGTCGGTTAAGGTCAGGATCGATCAATCCATGATTTGAAGTTGGATCGATTGGCATGTGCTCGTCTGATCGATTTTGAAAGTTACAGCAGTTTTAGGGTAACGTTGGATCGATCGATCCCTACCTGGTATATTTGGGTTTGAAA